TGCATTCAGCGTTATCTACAACACCAGAAAGGATTTGGGTGAGTGAGAATTCCAAACAGTGATGGGCTTTTCTAATTTTATTCAGAGGCTCGAGATTTTCAAATTTCTTCACATTGTCTCTTAATTGAGCAAATGTGTATATCAGCTAAGCCCCAGCCTTTCATCACATCTCGGGTGATGTTCTTTGATCAAAAAAAATCTAGGATTTGTTGCCTTGTGTTCAGTGAGAATTCCTTGTGATCTCGCTCTTTTCAATAGCTGGTATCTTGATGAATTCGAGATAGGCCTCAAGCAAGTTGACTCCTGGATCGACTACGGAAGACCCATCGGAATCGGATTGGGAACTGATCCCTGCGAGTACGAGAGCTTGAACAACAATCTAGTTTACGCTTTTTTGAGGCAGATAACTTCTCGAATTTGAGTTCAGGTGGTGGCGAGTGAAGTGAAACTGTAGTATTGGGTTCCATCTAAAAACCACAAGTCAGTTATGCCTGATTTAAAGGGTCCGATGAAATTCAATCTACTCACAAGGGCTTTGGCCCATTTCTCAACATTGACAGTTGTCAAGAGGATGTAACGAGTTTCATCGGCTGGATCAATGAAGACCGGAATCCTCTTGTGGTATTTGATGTTCGGTGGATGAGCATCGAAGATCTGATCCTTGTAGACATTGTATATATCGAAATCCTTGGCTGCAACCAAGGTCGACGGATCTTGATGCTTTGAAGTCGACGCACGTTGGGCAGCCGCATGGGTCATCACATGTTGTTTGATCTTCACAGCCGCCTTTGCTTCTTTCTCTAAATCGGCTGGGCTGATCATTTCGACTTCCAAGCTTGCATCGGTCCTGTCCTTCCCATTTGCAATGATGGTTGCCGTCCAGTGGGTGAATGAATTGATGTCGTTAACTTTATAGTTGGCGTTCTTTTTAAACTCGTGGGCTGCTGGAAGATTCATCCAGACCTTCCAGTTGATTCCAGGAGAGCCGGACTCAAGCGCGTTTTGAATGATCACTCCGGCACCCTCAGAATTCTCTTCGCACTTTCTAGCAACAATTTCATGGAATTGCTCGAATGTCGTGGAAACGGCTGGAATTGAAATTAAAAACTTCCTCTTTGATTTCCTTGGTATCCAAGTGAGCTTGTTGTTCGAGTTTTTGTCAGGGTAGACTAATTTGAAGCTCGTGCTTAAATCAATCATCTGAGTCTGGATGCAAGAAAAAAAAAACAATCAATGTGTATTCCTCATCGGAGCAAACCAGAGGAAATGTCCATTCTTACTGCTAGTTGATCTGGCGGTGGGCCGAGATTTTGAATCCTCCATAATTCCAAAGCAGAATGATAACCCGGTGGCGGGTTCTCCCGGCCAAATAAATCAATTCCAAAGTGCGACATGGGTAGTGAGGGAAAGGTCTAATGCTCTGTTGAGAAGGCTTGCAGGCAGTTTGGAGGCTGTTGACCACCACCACTGGTAACAAACAGCCTTAACAGCCTTGACTGTCTTGGCCGAGGTGGAAATCATGAAGCCGATCATGATTTCACAAGGCAAAAACCAAAAACAACAAAAACCAAGCAATCATGTAATACCATGATTTGTGAACAGCAACGACAAAATCTGTCCAAGCTTTCTTCAAACAACAATATGTATTATTTTTTTTTGAAAGAAAAAAAAAATCAATGAATGGGGCCGTCCCATAGGACCCATGCCTGGGTCCTATGGGACAGCCCTGGTCCTAAACGCATATAAATATGCGTTTAGGACCACATATGCATATATTTGGCGTGCAGGCCTGCACGCCAACTGCAGGCCAATATCCCCTGCAGCAGATTGGTGTGCAGGCCTGCACGCTGTGAGAACTCCTTTGGGAATGGTGGCAGTCCTGTGAGGGGGAAATAGCAGATGAGATATATCACGTATGTAATGATCTACTACAACTGTTACGGCTGGTTTGAAAGACCTGCCCCTCTATTGTACTACACAAGAGTCAACACAACAATTTATTTATTGTTGTGGCAAAAAACTGATGATAGAGAAACCTATGTGTAGCAGTCTCTTATCAAACCTAGATCAACATGGATTCAGCAGACTATTTGAGTGGAATTGTTGAGTAAGAGGTGTTCTTTTATGTTTATGTATTTTTGAAAAAATGATTGACGTATGTACTGATGATGAATGTGAATTTATGAGATGATAGTGAGGAAAAATGTGACTATTGAAAGTGTCTTTCCCTTCCTCCTTGATTCTTGGTCAAGAGCACAATGGTTTAAGATCACTGTCTCTTGTTTAAGATCACAAGTTGTACTGGTTGCTACTTTCTTTTTCCTATGCTTCTCAATGTGTGAATGATCTCAATGGGGCACTTGATTAAGATCACACTGGTTAATGTATGAATTGATTGCTCTGTTCTGTCTGGTTGATGATCAGATGAGATGATGATAAATTGGAATGAGGGGGGAAAGCCCCTCCTTAAATAGTCTATTTTACAACCCGGCTGACTTGTGGTTCTAGCCCTAACCTATAATCTATAAATGGCCAACTTGTGGTTCTAGCCCTAACCTATAATGAATATGCATCTAAAAATCTGGCCAAATTGTGGTTTTGCTACTATACAAGATTCTCAGTGTACCTACAAACAATGTGGCCAACTTGTGGTTACGCTATGCAATGAATATTGAATATGTAAACAAACTAAGGCCAACTTGTGGGTTAAATTATGCAATAAGCATTTTGTACGCAAATAAAACTTAAATCCCAAATAACTTTTGACTGAGTGGAGCTAGACTAGTGGTTCCAGTGAGTGACTATGGGTTAAATGACCCGTAGAATGTGATTATGCCATAATACGCCTAAGAATATATGCCTTTCTACATATTGGACTGTGACTTTATGCAATTTGATACTTGAAACACAATTGGCATACTACAACGCCAATCTGCTTTGGCGTGTGGGCCTGCACGCCAATCTGCAGCTGGCGTGCAGATTGGCGTGCGCGAGGGGGGTTGGCTTGCGCTTATCAACCCCCCTGGCAGAGATCATATCTCATGGTACTTAAATTGAGTTAAGTTATTTTCATATTGATTCTAATTTCCACAGCCAAGGGATTAACATTTTGATTGTCTCAAACCCCCATTTAGCTGGTATCTAACTGTATTTTTTCAACAAATGTTCAACAAGATATTAGGGAGCTGCATACAAGAAAATCTAGTGAAAAATTAAAATGACATGCCCAAAAATCATAATATCTACCACCACTTCAGTTTCACTTATCCTAGCAGATTTGCAGCTCAAGTTTACAACTCCCTATCATGTCAACCTTACTCTAGATCAAGTTGATTGAGCCCCCTAATTGAATGAGTTAAACAACTGAGAAACAAAATATGAGCTACAAACTTTTAGCACGGATTGTATCTGTACTGAAGGTATGCTGTTCTTGCATCATCCATTTGTTTACAGTTGAATCCAAAGTATGTTGGAATAGAACCAAGTAACCCCCCCCCCCCTCTTTGTGAACTGCATCCATATATTTGGGGTTATCTACAAAAAATGTCTGAGTTGTTCACAGGAAGGTGTATCTTTGTTGACACAGCTTGACATCTGAGATTTGTTTTTGTGTTCTATGGGACATGTCATTAATCTGCTTGACAATGACAAGTGAAAGAATTGTGAATTTTGTTGGGCTTCATCTGACTAGTGAATAGAACCCAAATTAGACAACCAGTGTGATTGCAAATACACTTTTTTTTACCGTACCGGAACTTTCCTCTAATGGTTCGAGGGGCCTTCTCTTAAAATGAGGAATGGTCCAGTTGGCGCTATCTTAATTGTGACAGAATATCTAGGGGTTTCTTTCTTTCTAAGAGCAAGTGACAAAACAAAACACAACAGAAATGAAAACACACACATTAAGAACGATAGCTAGACATGATATATACAGTCAGGTTTGCATTAAGATCCTCCTTCTGCTTCTTTGTAGTTAACTGAAACGACCAGACCTCCTTTTCTCTTCATATCTGCAAAATATGGGTAACAACAACATTGATCGAGTAGATAAAGTAGTGATTGAGATGAATTTTATATGCTATGACCCTACGTTGCCGCACAAGAACAATTGACAATTGCGAGAGTTGTGTTTATTCAAGCATGGCCAACTCAGGGTCATGTGATAGTGAAAGGAATCAAGTGAGGCGAGTTGAAACTGCTTTTTTTTTCTTTCAGGCTGAAGGAGTTTAAACAATCGTGGATAGAGCTGGAGGATTGATATGTTGGATAGGCCCAGCAGGACTGGCGTTATTGATTTGGCGTTGTGTCGCTTGGTCTTGATCCGCTTGAACCCGAGAAGGTTTCTCATGTAATAATTCTACGAGTGGGGATGGGGCCGAAGTTTTTCCATCCTCAAGATCTTCACGAGCAGGTTTATTATATTCGCCATCCACTTGCATTGAATTATTCTCTAGGTCGGCATCAAATAAATTTGACAAAGATGGTTCATGTTTTGATCCTTGGTCGATTTCCTTCCTGGCTTCACAATGTGTTGATGATGTTGCATCCTCTTGACGGTCTGCCGGGATATTAGCACTCTTCTCATCATCATCATCATCTCCTGCCATAGCTTCAAGTCGTGCCTGCAGTGCTGAAAGCGAATGCGTCGTTGAGTCTGCTGCGCTCCTCTTCTCTGAGCCCTCCACCGGTTGACAAGCATCTAGGAATTGAAAGGTATAAGTTAAATGATATCATTTGCATAGCTTATGTGCTGGAAAGACTTTACATTTGTTTTTTCCAGCCACGTATATCAACTTGCCACGACTCCAGACACTCACGTTCTCGTTCGACTGAGCCGGTTCCGCGCTAGGTCCTTCTATGATCTCACTATTCGAGGATGAAACTGGGGGTCTAGAGCGGGACCAGGTGGATGTTGAAGGTTGCGATTCTTCTTCAACGACCACCGGCTTAGGTTCTTCTTCCGCTTCAACTTCTACTTTCGTGCGCACCCTGAGGCTACGCCTCTCTCCTGGAGCCGTTGCCTTCTTGGAAGCACATGCGCGTTTACGGGATGGGCGACCGGTCTCAGCAGTTCCATCGATCTCTGCATCCTCGTCCATCTCGTTTGTCCCAGCCACGCTAGCATCTTGGCCAGTATACTCGGAGTCTTCAGAATCGCTCTCTCGACCATCGATATGCTTTCGTTTGAGCTTGCGTTTGGTGAGTTTGGCTTTTCTACTAGAGTCGGATCCGCCTGCACCTGGATTCTCATATTCTTGGATCGCGCGCTCGAGTTTTCGATCTACTACATCCGAATCAACAACGTAATCTGGTTTGGTACGCTGTGACCTGAGCCGTGAGCGAACGCCAAATCCAGGCGTGGAACGAGTGAGATCCGCCTCGCGTTTTGGAGCGTTTGCCAGCGCTATCCTGCGTTGTTTTTTGGCCTCGAGTTCCTCCAATCTTTGCGCTTCTTTCACCAACTGCTGAACCCTCTGAGAAGTTAATAAGAGAATGCAAAAAAACCCCATAAGTATATCTTTAATCCTTCGCTGGTCTCGTTGGTCAATTTGAAGAATCGCTAATTTACACACCTGCTCTCCTGCTTCAATGTTAGCCTGTACGACTTCCGCTAGAGTCTGGCTCAGCTGCCACTCAGACTGTAAGTGTCGATCTTGCGAAGCAGTCTTCTTGCGATTGCTTGTAAACATCGAAGGGATTTTAACCTTTTGAACGGTAGATTCTTTGGTCGCGCATGGATCAGACTTAGTTTGAGAGGGGTCGGAGGATTTGGTTGAGATTAGTGCAGGGTTCAGGGCTAGCTTGCTTATCAATTCGGCGTATTCAGGTTTGGTGGTTGACAAAACTGTCCAGTCGTCATCATGTTTGTATGGGTTTCCAGAACCGTAAATCCTGGGAGAATCTTCAGAAAAAAAAAACAGATCAGGAATGTGTATTAACTGAAGTCGGAAGCCAATTTGTGTCTCACCATCAATCTGCCACCAAGTACGTGAGTGGCGATCCGCGCCTAATGGCTTGATCACTAATGGATTTTGAAAGGGTTTCGTGTCCGCTTTTGCTGGCAAATTGGCAGGTTGTTTGGTGGATTTGGCTGAGGCTTTGTCGTGATTCTCATCGATGATTGACTTGATCTTCGCGGAATAAGTGAGTTGATGATCGACTAATACTCGGAGCAAGTGTACCTGACCAGGAAAAATTGAATCAAGAATAATGTTCAGAAAATAATTTCTTTAAGCGGAAACGGGAGTAATTTTCTACTGATTTGATTTTTTTCTTCACAGAAGTCACTAACGCGCTGTCGCAGTTTAAAATGTTTCGTACTTACTTTCTCATGCCATTCTAAGTCCCAAAATCCATTTTCTCTAGTCCTTAAATAATTTTCTTTCCATTTGAGTATTGAGAATACCGGCTGTTGGCGCTCGTGTTTGACAAGGTCTTCGATGTAAGTTTTGAGCCATCTGACCCACGAATTGGCGTTAGCTGTTTTCAAATTATCGTGAAACGTAGCCAAAATCGCCGTAAGTATTTCCCGGGCATCTGATGAATCAGGGGTTGATTCGTCTGCAGTTGGATCTGATGGGCTTGTCCTGGTATCTACTTCTAGTATCCGCTCGAACTGAATAGTACCACAGAGTACTGATTAATTAGTGGCGTGTTTTTGTTTGGTGATACGGAAGAGAAGTAGCAGAAACAATGAAAGCAGAGCAAGCAATGGCGATGGGAACTGACATCTTGAGCTGCACGAAGCTTCAAGCCGGTTTTAAGATCGTGGCATAACGAGGTGAACTTGTAAATAAAGGCAAAGACATACTGTTGGAGGCAAACAATACGGTTAATATCTACCAACAGAGGCTTCAGAGAGGAAAATTATACTGACAGCGGTCTCCCAAGATTCACTGGGTTTGGATGGGACTGGCTCAAGCCCAAGTGATAATGAACCAGCTTTCGCTGGCGTCAATTGACGAGGTGGTGGATGAGAGCCGCTAGTTGGAGAACATGGTCCAGCAGGAGATCCAATGGTTTGAGTTTTCGCCGAAGGTTTCATGGCGAGTGGATGATCGCACTGGATTGGGAAGACGTGAGCTTTCAAGTTTAATTTTCTACTATTTCTGATGAGGAAGTTCAAAGCGGATGGAGCTGGCAACAGTTTCCTTCTGTCTCGAGAGCTCTGGTGCTGCAGCAGTTAGAACAAAAGACACAATTTTACTCTCAATCTGGCTGTTGTTGGGCTTACATAATCAGACCATCAAAATCAAATTGCTTTTGGAAATCTATGTTGCAGGTAATTCTTGTCTATGGAAAATGGAAAAGCAATTTTAATCCTGCAACCACACAGCTACCAATAATTTGATTGGAAACTCAGCCATACCCAGCCCCAATCAGCCTCCCATGAGGTGCCATTGATGGACTAGTAGTATAATATATGTAGGTGCCCTGGGTATTTCTTACACCAGAGCCTGTTATGTAGACCTAGAAATCTGTGACATCTGTCACAGTCCCACTGAACCAGTTTAACTAGTGGCAAATAGCTGGAAAATATCACAGGTAACCCAATTGATTTCTGTACTGTCAGTAAAACACCACCAAACACCACCAACTGCTACACCCTCAATACCTGGGGCAGGCCTACTACATGAGGAGCTGGCCAGTGGTCAATCCAACAGGGGGGACTTTTGCTACTTTTTTGGGCCTGCCAGTTGGGAGAGCCCAACCAGATCTGTGTAGACAACCCTGGGAGGAAAAACTTCTCTCCTCCCCAAGCTAATGAAGTATGGGGTTCTGAGCCTGCCGGGTGGGTGGGGCAAATATTTGCAGCTGGTGTTGATTGCTGTTGTCAAGTGCTCCTTGATGATGGTGGTCCAGTGTTGGTGCTTTGAGTCTGTGTGTGTTGTTGGTTGTGAGGTTGGCTTGAGTTACCTTTCTTCTAACACCAACTGGTCCCTCTCAGTGGTTGAGGCCTAGCCGTGCACCACACACCTTGTGAATCTGGACTTATACCACCTTGGCTGTGCTGCTGGTAAGAGTCAAATTTTGGATCATCTGATGAAACAATGGAAGTTCATATTTCAAAGATTGAATATACCTGAGGATACTGAACATTGTATTGTTTGAAAGTATATACACCACAGGGTGGGTTTTTTGGAACCAGCCCCATCCAATGGACACATTCCTGACCATGGATGCACTCAAAGCATCCAACTTCCAAGGGAGGCTTTGGAGCACAAGTATCACTTGGATATAAGGTTCAAACCCGGCCCCAGTGGCAGATCTGTGAAGCAAATACCCAGTTAGTTACCAGGTACCGGCAAGATCTGGTTCATCCAAACAGATACTGGCTATTCAATGGGATAGCCAATTACAAGAGATAGCTTGTACATACCAGTCTATCCATGTCCATCAAGAGAGGAGTGGTCAATTGATTCCCTGATACAAAACAGCCGGATCAGAACCTTGCTTGGATGATTCCAAAAGCATCCAAGTGATGCTTGGCCTGGATAAGCATCCATTGGATGCTAAAAATTGTCGTCCATTGCACTGCAAGAAAAAGTTGAGCAGTTGGTATGCAAGAGCTCAAACCATACTTTACACCAAACTTGAATCAAACTCAGACTTTTGTTCTACATTGCCCAAAAAAAACCTAGTATTGCCTTTTTTGTTTATTGTATTCTGTCTTTTGATTTTTTATTCAATTCTTTCTTTTTTTCTTTTGAATGAAAGATTTTTTTATTTATTATCCACTTTGAACCCTTTTTTCCTTTTATCATCCCTTGGGTTCCTGCCTTTATCCCTTGTTTTTTCCTCTTTCATTTTTTCTTTCTATTTTTTTTTCAATGAATGATACCATTCTTTCTTTGATATGGTGCCTTTAGGTCTTGATATAAAAGGCTGTGATTTTTTTCATCTTTGTGAGGGCAGTAGATGACAGCAACTCCCAAAGCTCCCAAAGGTGGTCTTTTGAGACGGACAACTCCCATTTTTTTAATAAGTAAATAATAAAAATTTATTGGTAAATTGGAGCAACAACCCCCTTATTCTGCCCTCAAATTAGAAAAACAACTCCTGTTGGATGTCCGCTGGTATTAATGGGAGTCATTTACTAATTGAAATGGTGGGCTGCTACACTAACCGTAGTGGTTAGTGCAGTGTAACTTAGCGGAATTTTGCTAGCATAGTGGAATTCTGCCACGTCAGTACTAACACTAGGTGCGTAAGCCCCCCAAAAAGGGCCCACTATGCTGTGCTAATGCGCTGTTTAGCGTACAATTGGCCCTGTAGCGCGGCATAGCACAAGAAGAATCCACTAAAAATGTGCTAACACTACGGGATTTGGGCGCAAAAAAAGTGCTGCTACGCTAGAAACGTTTGAGCAAAACGTGTAGTGGCCTAGCGTTGCTGATTTTTAGGAATCCTTTGTCCAAGCCCCTATATTATTTCCAGAATTATCTTACCAGCAATACCCTTACCAGTATTCTTCTCAGTCATCTTTGCTACACAAACCTCAGGACTCCTCTTCCCCCTCCAGTAGTAGGGACCTACATACACAGCTCATCAGTAATAGTCAACTAAGATTAAAGTATAAATTAGCCACACCCATATTTCTTCTTTTATTAGTGTTACACTCTTCCCATAGTATTAGATAGGAGGGAAGCCTTACAGCATCCTTGGTTATAACTTACATTAGTACTAGTGTAGTAATCCATATTCCCTCCAGGCTCTATCTCTTTGGTTGAGAAGTTCCACAGTGTTCAGAATTGGAATACCCAAAAATACCAATCCTTGTGTGTCTCACTTTCCTGAGACAATACACATGTATTTTCTTTGGAAAGTGAGACAAGTATTGTGTATTGTCTCAGAGGGCCAATCCCATCAAAAATTTCTTTGATACACAAGATATCTTGTTGTATCAGTCAAAAAAAAAGAAAGACAATTTTTTTGCATGCATAAAGACAAATCCAAGACAGTTCATTTTTTCACCAACCAAGGAAATACTGATACCAGGTATCAGTCTAAAAAGAAAGATGATACAACAAATACCAAATACATGTCTCATCTCAGTTTCAGAATTGGATCTTGCCATGTGTCTGTGTAAAAAATGGGATTTGATTTGGTGAAAAAATTAAGGATAAATAATAAAGAGAGAAAAATAAAAATCATAGATTTGGTGATCTTGGTAGAAGAAAACTACATGATAATTTGGGGGCTGGAAGTATAGAGGGAATGATCTTAATTGTGGTAGGTACCCCCAACGTGTGCCAAATTTCCATCTCTATTGACTGATATGTTGATTCCAAGAAAGGAAACTGAGTGGAAGCAAAATGATAAGAGATCCAGAATTGGTGATAGGAAAGTTTCACTGAAGACAGAGAATTGTTACAGAAGAAATCTAAGCAGAAATTCATGTTGAAATTTTGAAAGTAGATGGGGGCCTTAGGGAAAGGTTTGAATTTATTTTGGAATATAACAGTCTTTACCAATTTCTTCAAAAAGAGTCTGATCATTGTAACTTTCTTGGCCTAGTCAAACCAATATCCTCATTGATTATTTGGTTTATATCATTATTGAGGTACCCTGAATGACTTGCACAGCTTTTCAAACACCTGATGGATTCTTCTATTTCATGAACCTGACAGTATCTATCTTTTGGATCAAAATTGTTTTTACTGTAGTGGTTTGACTTCATCATATCTATATGCTTGATGATCAAGTCATATGTGTTCAAGTTTTTTATTGAATCTTCTGAATTCCCAAATGAAATATAATTCAAGTTTTTGAGATCAGTCCTCCAAAAGTCTTTTGTTAGATATATACCCAAATTTACTAATCCAAGTATATTAAATCCAGTGAATTGTAAAAAAAAAATTCAAGGGTTTCCCCCAAATTCACATTCATGGCGAACAGATCAGAGGTTTCCCATTGCACAAATTCAGAACAGCAGCCCCAGCCCCCCAACTCCAGCAACGCTGGAGCACCTGGGCTCAGTGTCCAGCACTTGTCAAAGCAAGCGTCAAAAACCCTGGACATGAAGGCCCCCGGCAGCATCAACAGACACAAGCCAGTGGGGGGCCAGCGCGTTAACCACCAAACTGCACAAGTGTGACAGCGGGTGGCCAGAGGGGGTTTGATCGCAAATTCAAAGATCCTAACACCCCTGGCCTCATCATCCTGCCCAAGCG